TGTTGTTACGTATTTCTCGATTTCAAATCAACGTTTGTGGTACGTTCGTGTAAATCAAGACATTAATTCATTAGACTGAGTGCAAATACTGAAAATCAGTTTGAGACATTTTCTCTGGGAATTGAAGCTGTAGGTCGTTCATTTGGCTGTGGTGCTTTATAGATATAGAACGTCAGTGCATAAGAATATCCATTCTTGATTATCTTCAGAATCAAAGGTAAAGGGACATTTACAGACGCTGTTTCAAAGGCACCCAGTTTACAACAATTTATACGTTTACCTTCCCAGGTAAAGTTCGAATCCCACATGTGATTTGCATCCATTAGGATCCATGGATTGTCGGTGCCATGTGCCATGTCCTTCCGACCAATGAAGAGATTGGTGGATCGACTCTACTTGTCCCAAATGAATTAACCTTTTAGAATTAGATTCACATGTGGAAATATGTGACAATTTCAGATGTTGCCTCCCTGCTTTGCTATTACATACTTGGGATACATTTTATGTGCTCACGTCTTATATATCGTTGGGTCACAGGTGTCCCTGTCGTATCAGGTCAGAGTTGCTCCTGCTCGTGGGTTATAAATACACAATGCCATTTAGAAAGTGGCCAAGTGTAACATATGTTATATTTGGGATTACAGTTTTCAGTAACGTACCGATTCAAGTACTTATGTTTGGTTGTGACCTATCCTGGATTCGAACGCTCACTCTCAGAGCTCACCTAATCACCATCACACAAACAGGACGTCGGAGTTTTAGTCTGGATCACATACTTTGTGTACCACTCTGACACGTGTAAATTGACACGGCTCCCGCGGCCGAAAGTTATGATTACACAATGTCATTTAGAAAGCGTTCAAATGTAACATGTCTTATTTTTGGGATTACGCTTTCCTTGTAAAGTACAGATTCTATTACCTGTGTTAGGGTGAGATACTGCAGTTTATTCTGAGATGCTTAGCTAAAAGATCAAAGGCACTGACACTACAGCTGTACTTTATCAAGCGATAAAGCACAATTTTAGCACGACGTCACACTGCATGGACGTCACTACTCCGTTGTCGTCTGCATCTTCGTTAACAAACGTACCCTTGGTAACCGACGTCTCGATACATCTCACTTGTCATCGCTTCGTACAGCTTCCTACAGTAAACTACTCCGTAGCACCCTGTTTCTTGGTTTGCAGTTGCTTCACTCGGCTGACATCAATGGTGGAAACATTACGTTTACGTTTTTCGACGGATAAAATGTCGACTAGGATCTTTACACTATATGCAATAATACAAAAGTGTCTATCGCGTAATAAACACAAACTTTATGTAGCATTTGTTGACTTTAAGAAAGCTTTTGATTCTGTGGATCGTTGTAAATTATGGCACTGCTTACGAAAGTCTGGTTTACAAGGGGAAAATGTATTCTATTTTAAAATCTATGTACTTGAATATTAAATCATGTGTTCGTTGTGGTGATGATGCCACCGATTTTTTCGACTGTCCCATGGAAGTTCTACAAGGGTGTATTTTAAACCCTATATTGTTTTCCTTCTTTATACCGACTGAGTTTGGTTTTACGCCGCTTTTAGCAATATTCCAGTAACATCACGGCGGGGGACACCAGAAATGGGCTTCACTCATTGTACCCATGTGGGGATTCGAACTCCTTCTTTATAAGCGAACTGTATTATGCTATTTCTAATTCTGGTAAACATGGTGTGCAAATGTTTCCAGATATGATTGAAATTTTTATCCTCCTTTTTGCCGATGATGTAATTTTAGTGTCAGATACTATCGTCGGTCTACAAAACCAACTGAATATTTTGGAACGTTTTACAAATGAATGGAAATCTCGGACTAGTGTTTTCCCATACCATGAACTTTAGAAAGAGTGTTATAGATCTGAAATCACGCACTAAGAAGACTCGTATTAATGTTATGTCATTTTCCCAGAATTTTGGAATTTTAACCCCGAAAATATATTTCAAATTGTTTGATGCACAAATCCAACCGATTATGCTTTATGGGTCTGAAATTTGGGGATTTCAACGTCATTTATGTCTAGAGAAACTACACCTTTTAGCATGTAAAAGATTTTTAAAAGTAGCGCAAGCAACATCAACTTGTATGGTTTATGGAGAATGCGGTAGATATTCGATATATATAAATTCACAAATCAGATGTTTAAAATATTGGTTACAGACCCTTGAATGCACGAACAAAGAATCCCAAAACTAGCTAGCCAGTTCAAACAATCATGGTATGCTGATGCCCAAAATTCGTCTAAAGGAAAATATTATCATCTATATAAAACCTCACTTACTTTAGAACCTTATCTTCTAGATCTACCATCAAAATTTCGTATCTGGTTAACAAAATTAAGAACTTCTAATCATAGATTACCCATTGAAACGGGACGATGGTTTAATATTAATCTAGAAAACAGAACGTGTACAATTTGTAAAAATAATATTATTTGTGACGAGTATCATGCTATTTTATCATGTACACAGCCTAATGTCGAACGTAAGAGGATTCTTCCCCTCTTATTTCTGTAATAATCCACATATGGACAAATTTATCTCACTTATGAAATCAAACTATACCCCACTCCTATTGAAACTTTCACTTTTTGCTAAAACTGTGCTTAGCCACTTCTAAATCAAAATACCTACCCATATGATATTGTATTTAAACGACTGTATGTTCTCTATATCATTCTGTATGATTTTCGAGAATAAACAATTCTGTTCTGTTCTGTTCTGCTAATAACATGCTTGTACATTTAGATGATAGGGGGTAAGACAACATGGGCGTCTCATATTGGAAACCTTGGATTTTCTCATGGTTTTGGATTTGTGTAGCTAAATTAAACAGTTGGTAATATTAATCTCTTTCTTAAGCAATTTCGAGAACAATCTGTTAGCATGTATTATCAAGAATGGCATTCCAGTTCAGTTGTAAAGATCACATAAGAGCTTAATTCAACCAGAACTATATCTATCTGTATTGATATCTAGAAATATCAGACGCACATTTGTCAATTTTCGACTGGGCTTATTAGACTTATCAGTAAATAAAGGCAGACGATTTTCAATAGAGTTTAAGGATATGTCCATTATGTAACTCGGCTATGGAAGATGAAATTCACTTTGCTTTGTATGCCCACATTATGCTGATTTAAGAAAAAAATATATAAATCCCAAATAATTACCTGTTAAAATATCCTTCAACTGCGTTTGTTTCCATTTATCCTCCAAAAATGAAAATGTAATACGTAATCTAGCGCTTTTTGTAAAACATGTTGTTATCCTTAGAAGCAATATCTTATCTGAAGTGTAATTTCTTTTGTGAAATGTCTGTAACATGTGTTGTATATATACTTGTATTGTGGAAACAATACGTTTACGTTTTTCGACGGATAAAATGGCGACTAGTAGAGCGAACTGTATATAGAGGATACTACCTACCTTACTACCTTCCGTGTAATACCATTTTTATTAACCGAGTTAATGATTTGGTATCAAAAGAACGAAAGCGAGTTTGATGCTAAATCGTTCACGAGTTTAGTAAAAATAGTATTTCACGGAAGCGAGTTTAGTATTCTGTTTATTATTCTTCAACATAAACTGATAGAAACTGCCCACGAAGTGTGATGACTCTCAGCTTTCCACGAGGCAAGCAAGGTATAATACCATTGTGCCAGAGTTATTAGCATTGTGACTTCATAACTGTAACCATTATGACGTCATACGTCTAGCGGTATTACAGCAGTGTAATATTGCCGTACAAATATTACATTGCAGTATCTTACACGGGCAAGTAATTCTTAAATATTTTACGGTCATATTACACTCGTGTAATACCGCTAGACGTAAGACGTCATAATAGTTTACAGTTATGATGTCACAATGCTAATACCTCTGTCACAATGGTATTTGATCTTGCTTGACTCGTGGAAAGCTGAGAGTCATCGCATTGAAGGCAGTTTCTATCAGTTTATATTGGAGAGTAATAAACAAAATACTAAACTCGCTTCCGTAAAATACCATTTATATTAAGTTTGTGAAAGATTTAGTATCAAATCTGATACCAAATGATTAACTCGTTTAATAAAAATGGTATTACACGGAAGGTCATTTAGTATCCTTTATATACTCCGCTCACCGCACTTTATGCCCATGACTGAATGTCTCTGACCGTTTATCATGTATTCGAGGTTCTGTAGGGATTACCGGGATAGCCCAATCTTCTTTCACTGGATTATATATACACGTGATTCCATAAAACGCACTCATTATAGATGAGGTACTTGTATGTAACCAATCCCTTTCAACACACTTGAAAGATGCAGAATTTCAGACCTCCCAAGAATGATCAACAATAAATCATGTTTGAATATTTTAGAATGACTTGTACGTATACATATGTGTTACCTGTTATGACAATTATCTTGGTACACTCAGGAAAATTACCTAAATTGATACTACTGAGATAGATCAACGGCGGATAAGTGATCGAGCAAACTTTACAAATGAGCAGCTTCATCAAGAAAGTCGTTCTTTCAGTAGGTCAAAATCAAGTATCATCGTGATTTGTCATGTATTCTTTCAGTCTGTCCTGGTCGGGAATAAACCACCCGGCACACACTTGTAACTGCCTGTCAAATGTATTCCTGAAACTACTCGATTGATAAAGCAAGGTACAAATTCAGACGAGTGGAATAATGTATGATATTCCTTCTTTCTGTTCAGTCTTTCTGCGAACACCGTCAATATCCAAATCATTGCAGCCATGTGTGTGTCTGTGTGTAAGTAAATATATATGATCCAACTTTCCAAATATTGATCGCTTGTTTGGTTCCAAAATCACAGGACTAATTTAAGCCATAATATGAACCCATGATATCTCATGGTGAAAGTATGTATAACATGCCACCAAACGATCAGACGACAGTTCTTGGTACTATAACATTGTCTATCATATACAATATAAAGAAAATCCTTGCACTAATAAATATTTTATTACATATGATACAAGCAGACCATTTAGAAAGTAAAGATAGTATTAGAAAATCCCAAACTTCTCAAACGGAATCACACCGTGCTATATTCAGTCTTTTGATGCATCCCGATAACGCACTGACTTTCAAAACTGGCGATTGCCATTAGATTTTCTTGGTTTGACCATGACTTAATACGATGTGTCGGAGTAGACGGTGTAGGTACGAGTCTTCCTGCTGTAATTGGCCATGGTTTCTTCAGCCATGCTGGCCCTGGTTTCAGCATCCTCTAGCTCCTGTTTCACCTTGCGGTATTTGTTCATGTTCGTGGTCGCCATCTCCTCCTGTATGAAAGAACAAAGTGTGTTATTTGAAATGAATTATTATCAATAACAGTATAACCAATAACCGATATTCTTTATCCACAATAGATGCATTGTACTCATGGTAGCCATACTTACAGCATCTGCCACCTGGGACTTGTATGTCTTCATCTGACCGCTCTGCTTGTCAACGATGTCCTGCAGTTTGTCAATGGTCTTCTTGTCTTCGTCCACCTTGTAAGTCATCTCTTTCACACGACGTTCGTATTGACGACAGTTCTTGACACACTCAGCATGTCGCATCTGTTCCTTCTCAAACTCATCCTCCAGATCTCTAACCTGAGGAAGAAGAAATACCGTGTTGTAAATACAGATCATGAGCAGAGTATGGAATATACACTTTATTATGTGTGCAAGTTAATATTTTCTTTAAATTTCTAATATGTGGTATTTATGACACGGAAACACAAGAGGTAATAATCAATTTATCATATAATGTTACTCCTAAAGTACTCAAGGACTGACAAGATTTTCTAAGATGGTGTCGAAATACAATGACATGACGAAATGACCTATTTATAAGATAGTGAACAATGTGAGGCAGCTCCCATCCAGACAACACTACAGAAACGTGTCCTCATCTGTATGCAAAGGTGTGAGGAGCCGGTAGTCATCAAACCGGCGTGTATGTCTTATGGAGTGTAGTTTCATCTGAATGACCTTATATGCATACTACTATGCCAATGATGCCATAAATTATTAGATTGATTCGTTGCATTGATAACACTATTCATAACATGACAAAACGAAGAGTGTCACCCAAACACTATCTTTAGAAGATAGGAAGTAACAAGCATGAACACATTGTGAGAGGTTATCGTCATTGTCAGAATGTGCCGTAAAGTATCATGCTTACAAATACGATTACTTAATTACCTTGCAAGAGATTTCCTGGCAAATGTAAGTTCACGCAAATTATTTAAGCCTATTACGTACCATTTTAGCTTTGGTCATCTCAAACGAACTGGCCTTTGCAAGTGCGGCAGACAGATTTTGCTCCGCTTCGTTAAGTTTGATCTGCATTCGGCGTCTGAAGATCAAGAATCAGTATGAATATACCATATGACTGTTGCACTTACTTAGCACAATGTATTGTACGACAAAGGATATCTAACAATCAGACTCAGCTATCTATAATCCTCCAAATACGTTATGTAGTTTATTGTTTCCGTACCTGGACTCCTCCAGCTCTTCTACCCTGACAGTGCCTTCTGTCTCATACTTGGATCTCCACTGAAGCATCTCCTGGTTGGACTTAGACAGTTGGCGCTGTAGAGCTGCTCGGGCCTCCTGTTCCTCCTCAAGCTGTTCCCTGAGGCTGACCATTTCAGTGTTCATGTTCCTTATCTCAGTCTGGAGTCGCTGACGCACCTGAGTGACAAAAGTAAGTTGGAAAATGTGAAAAAGGCAACATATCATGAATAGGACGTGCATTTAGACTATAATGAATTCGACTTAACTTTATTGCCGTTCTGTGTGCCTCATGCACGTATGATCTCTGATACTTACTCTCTGTTCATCATCAGAGGAACGTTTCATCTCTTCTACTTGGGCACACAGAGAAGACTTCTCCTTGCTGAGCTTTCCAATTCGGTTTTCAGTCTCCTCCAACTGACGGGTAAGGTCAGCTGCCTCAGCCATGTATTTGTTCTTCTCTGTCTGCAGGTCGCTGATCTGGTTGGATGCTTCTTCAACCTGTGTATTCAGCTCAGCCATTTGGGTTTGCATCTGCTTGGACATCACGCCGGAACATCCCTGCAAACAAAACATAAAATTAATTCAATGAAGATTAATGGCATTAAGGATATCTAAGTCTGTTATGTATTTATGTAAATATCTGGCAATACATATATGGTCAATGATTTAATTGGTTGTGACTTAAGTAATACCTTATTTTGCTTAGCATGTTCTAGCCATTTTGGAGATCATCAACGTCAGCCTTTAGTTGGTTCTTTTCCTTGTCCAACCTGCAAAATAATTCATGTATGTTGAAACAAGTATGTCCATTAATTGTTACGGGGATATTAAGCAGATACCATTTCTGCATTCTTTCGTTCGTTCCTTCGTTTACTTATTTATTTATTCATTTTCTTGTGTGAGTTTGGGATTTGAATGTGGAAAACTGAGAGGTTCGGATGGGGGATGATATTTTAGCTTATATTCCAACACAATGCCTTAACATCATTCATTATGCAATGCGCACCTTTGTTTGACCTTCTGAAGTTGTTCCATCTGGTCATTCATCTCAGTCATGGCATCCTTCTGCTTCTTGCGGAAGTTGGCAACCTGAGACTCATGCTGGGATGATGCCTCTTCCATGTCGTGTTTCAGTTTTTGAATCTCCGTGTCACGCTTCTTGATAACGTCCGACTGTTGGAATGGGTTAAACAATCTATAAGTTCAGTCCTACAATCACCCACATTGAACACAACTAAATTGTATAAGAAGCATGTTTAGTATGCGTCTAAAGTATTTTTTTGATGAAATGACAAATACTGAAATTTTTACTTTTTCTTGTATTTGAGTCGTTTACATAGTAATATACTTCAGAATCAACAAATATTCACGAACGTGTGTGTTAACTGTAAAAGTTCTATTTTTACATGATTCTTAAGTATCCTTTCGACAAAATGAAATTACTGACCTATGTATTTTAAAATGTATCTGCAACGATGACATAAGTAATTTAAATATTGATTCCAGCCCACCTGTGAAGTAATTGTGGAGTTGGCCTCTTCAAGGCTCTGTGTCATGTTGTCCAGTTCATTGGCTAAATGTGTTCTCTGCTTCTCCACCTAAAAGGGAAACATACATGCAATAACAAAATAGTTCTATGTAACATAACATGTTATATCTTAAGTTGTTTGACAAGTGTAGCATTTTTCAAACGCCTTTATACATTCAGTTCACAAGAAAATAAACTATGCTTCCTCTACCTTTGATCTTGACTGTCTTTCCGATTCAAGTTGTTCCTGGCACTCATCGAGGTTATTCTGTAAAAGAAACGGGTCTGTTTAACTTGTGCCAATTAATCATACATAAACAGTCCATGTTCAATGTCAACGTTTTAGTTTTACATTCAAAAGGTAATTTATAATCATAACTGAATTTTCTTTTGACAGATTGGCCCATTTTCTTTCATACCAAGTAAACCACGGTCGTTTATTTTAAAGGACATGACAGGATGTCTAGCTATGTATCAGCTACCTGGAGATCTTTGATCTTCTTCTGTTGTTGGTTACCATGTGTCTCAGACTCCTCCAACAGAGACATGAGCCCCGTGATTTCCTTCAGTTTTCTGGAAAAGGTCATGCAAAGGTGAAGTGATGTGTTCACAAATACAACATCAGTAAAGACCTGTGGTTTCAAGTTATTACATGTAACAGGAGAAAAGGAAATGGATGTAGGTCGCAAGTCATTCCTATCAAAAGGAGTAAACTTAATAACTTCAGTACAGTGGTTTGTTTATCTCGCAGTACTCACTTCTTTATCGTTTCCTCTGCATCTGTCTTCAAACTATTCAGATCTTCACAGTTACTCTGGGAGACCTTCAAGTCCTGTTCAAGCTTTTTCTTGGCCTTTTCCACATCTCCACGCACCTTCTTTTCATGTTCAAAACTGTCTTCAAGCTGAAAAAATATTTTCATTATTAAATTTACGAAATATTGACTGGCAAAAAACGATAAATTATTTAAATTGATTTTTTCATAAACGTCAAAAACATGTCCAACAAAAATGGTGTTTCTGAAACCGCCCTACCTCTCCAATAACACCCTCAAGTTTCTGCCTTAATTTGTTGAGATTTGCACATTTTGCCTCCTCTGTCTCCAGGTCTGATTTGGTCTTAGTAAGTTGATCTTCAGCGTCCTTCTTCCCCTTTGTGAGCTTTGTAACAGTTTCTCCCAACTGTGTAGTTTCATCTGTGAGAGATCTGATTTGCGAATCTTTCGCTTTGATGTCATGTTGACTCTGAACAGAAAAGAACAATGTTTAGAATTCCAATTTATTTCTTGAATAATTATTTTCGAATGTAACTGGTGTTGTATAAAGCAATACTGTACCAATGTAAATGGACATCATTTACCTTTGCCACTGCGTCCTCAAGGGAATCCATATTTGTCTTGAGGCCACAGATTTCCGTCTCCATCTGTTTTTGCTTTTCGGTCAGCATGGCATTGTTAGATTCTTCCTCTAATACACGGTCATTCAGTTCCTTCATTTGGACATCAGTTTCTTCCTTTTGCTTCAGAAGCTGCTCAATCCTCTCTTCACAGTCATCAATGGTATCCTGTTGAGTTTGAACCTGTAGGAACAAGTTGTTCTTGGCTTCTGTTAAGGTCACGCTCTGTTCCTCGAGCTCCTTGCACCTCTGCGCCACTTTCTCGAGTTCACCCTTTGTTTTTCCAAGTGCCTCCTCCTTCTGTTTCATCTCATCTTCAGCAGCAGCAACACTGAGGAGTGGCTTGACCTTGGTATAGAATCTCCACCAACACCAGTTCCTCATGGCAAGCCACTTACGGATGTTCTTCTGGATAAGTTCCAGTGCAACTCTGAGAACAATGTAAGAATTTTATGTTACACAATATTCAGAAATAACTGTTTATGAAGCTTCTTTACCGACAAACAAATTAATTTTGATTCTTAATTGATCAAATGAAAACAATTTCCAAACACATTTGTTCCTCATTTCTCTCACTTTAAGGCCATATCAATGCATACCTCTTGTCATGGAGATTCTTCAGATATTTCCTCATAAGGTATCCACGAATGTGAGCTTGGAACAGAGCAACAATCACCGACAGCCTTTCGTCACGGATCTCTTCCAAGTAACCAAGGACTCCAGACTTGAAGAAGACTTTAGTGTTGCCAAGACGGTATTCATCCTGTCCCATCTCCAGGGCTTCTAAAATCTTGCCAGACACTACCTTTCCCTCAACAAATCCTTCAGGGATGGCATTTGGTGCCAAGATCGAATACCTGAAAACAAATTCAGGTCTCTATTTCATTCTGTTACCAGGATGTCATCTTTACATTGTCATGATGTAAGATAAATAATTCAAATCTTAAAACGATCATATCAAGACAGATAATAATATACCTACCTCTGTTTGAACTCTGAGTAGATTATCCTGCTGGGAAAGCCCTTTCTGCAGATACGGATACCTTCAAGGACGCCGTTACATTGCAGTTGGTGGAGCACAAGACCAGCGTCAATCAAACCTAAAAGCACATACGCATGTACTTCAGTATCAAAAGTGCTTCAACGCAGTAACCTTTGAATATGTATAATGAAACACGTTTTTAATTATACAATTAAACTACCATGAGGTTTGATTATTTTCCATACCTGGCGTCTTGGTCTCGTTGGGGATGATGCAGCGCACAAAGTGAGGATGTGTGGAGTACAGATTCTTCATCAGTTTGTTCAGTGATTCCTTATGAATAAATGTTATTATCAATATCAGAACACATGGTTATTTCAATATCACATGCGATGCAACCGTCACATATACAAGAAAAGAAATCTGTTTTCATTCCCTTTCCTTGTATTATTGGATACATGTATATGGTGGTGCATATGAAAATGTTAGGTCAGGTGTCCGTAGTGATTGAGAAAGTCTCTATTATTTATGCTAAGTAAGCAATTCATTTATTATACCCTGTGAGTAGCAGAAATGGTCTGGAAGGCGGAGCTCTTCTTTTTCTTCTTACCACCGGTCGCCTCAGCAGCTTCTGTATAGGTAATAGGTGATGTGTGTCATTGTACTATCTCGAAAAAAACATTTATTGAAATTGACAATACAACGATATATTGCATATCAAAATTCTTCATGCCGCGTTTCATGTAAAGAAACTATGATAAATATTATATTATTATTATACCTTAAACGATAACAGTGTCAATGGACAATCTATCGTCACTACATATCAGAGTTGGGTTACGCGAAACACGCCATCGTTTCGCGTGAAATAACCATTGGTTAATCAATGTGAATAATAAGCGTTGCATTGTCGTCGCTGAAAACAAACCTCCGGCAGGTGGAGAGAAGAGTAACTGGACTAGTGGCTCCTTGGACTGTTTCAGGAGATCCACAATGGTCTCGTTGACAGGGTCCTTGTTCTTCTCCAGCCAACCACCGATGTTGTAGGGCACTGTACCAGCGTAGTGCTTCAAGGCGAAGTCACCATGTGCACCACCCTTCATAGATTTGCTGGGCTTCAGGAAGTGGGGAGATTTGCCCATGTGGTTCTGAGTTAGTTTGTCCTTGAAGGTCTTGTCGGATGCCTTGGGGAACATACACTCTTCTTCCAAGATTGATAGAATTCCAAGGGGCTACAACGTAGGAGATGTATGTTTGTAAAATTAATAACAAGAACACAATCAAACATAAAGATATATTGTGTTGGAGAAATACATATAGCCTTTGGTGATAAGCAATCTTTAAGGAAAACGATTTTTTATAGAGAAGAAACATTTGTTCTGGTATGTGTTCTTTTCTAATATGTCGAAACCCGTGAAGATCCGGGTTAGAATCGCTCAGGCTCGCTGACTTGGTTGGCACGTGTCATCGTGTTCCACTTGCGCAGATTTATGTTCATGCTAATGATCACTGGATTGTTTGGTCTACACTCGATTATTTACAGACCGCTGCCATATATCTGGAACATTGCTGAGTGCGACGTTAAACAACAACCAATGCAATCCCATCTTATACGACGAGATACAATACCAACCTTTTCAATAAGCTCAATGCAAGCCTGCAGGTCCATTCCAAAATCGATGAACTCCCACACTATGCCTTCCTTCTTGTATTCTTCCTGTTCTAGCACAAACATGTGGTGGTTGAAGAACTGTTGCAGACGCTCATTGGTGTAGTTGATACACAATTGCTCGAAGCTGTTGAACTGGAAACAAAGTTACAAATGCAGATTAAACGAACTAAAGTTCAGCATATCAGCTGAAGTCCTTATTTCAAGAGAAGAGACTACTGTGTCTTATCCTCTTTTCCTTATATTTGCACTTGACGGAAGTGGCATGTTAAATCAAGTATTTTAAGGCATGGGAGATCAATGATAGGAACATGGACTCTTTACAACTGAGCATATTGAATGCTGTCTCTGCATTAAGCGTTGTCAAATACCATGTTACCTCAAAAGTTAAATATGAGTAACATTTGTCCTCACATCAAAGATTTCGAAGCCTGCAATATCCAGAACACCAATGAAGAACTGCCTCGGTTTCTTGGTGTCCAGGGAATGGTTGACTCTCTTCACCAGCCAGTTGAACACACGATCATAGAGGGACTTGGACAGGGCACCGATAGAGTAGAGAACCTGATCCTTTGTTCTTCCTTGGGTGACGTAATCCATGGCCACCTTGATCTTGGGTTTACACAGAGCCTTCAGGAAGTCACCACAGTTGACACCCAACAGGAAGGAAACCTTCTCAGCTTCAGCAGTTCCATCAGATTCAGCCTGTTCACCCTTCTGCTTGAACTGCATCTCACCCATGTGGAGGATAGAGCCAGTGCACTTGTAGGCACTGGTTTTCTCCTCAGGGGTAAATCCAAGCACGTCAAATGCTGCCTATAACCAGAATAGAGATGTGTACTATATGACTGACTGACTGAGTTTGGTTTTACGCCGATTTTAGCAATATTTCAGCAACATCACGGCGGGGGGCTCCAGAAATGGGCTTCAAACAATGTACCCATGTGGGGATTCGAACCCGGGTCTTCGGCGTGATGAGCCAACGCTTTAACCACTAGGCTACCCCACCGCCCCGTGTACTGTATGAAATTGGTAGAAAGTAGAATAACATTGTGTATGAAAGACATATACTTAATTCTTATGTAGAATGACTTACGTCTGTCATCTTCATCTCCTCCACATCGTCGATGCCGTTGACCGTGAGTACCCCTTGATTGATGAAGGTGAACAAACCAGCATCGGGATTGGCCACGATTGTCTCTGAAATCAAATTATGCAGTTATACTCTGCACATTGAAAGCTGTATGTTTACAGGTGACACATAACTCTTGCATATATCATTAATTGTAGAAAAGTTGAATGTTTTAATGCAACAATATAAACAATGCAATATGCAACAATGTTTAAGGGGTTGGAAATTCATTTACTGTCAGCGAATATTGTTCGGTTATGCAGAAATGTATTGATTATTGCTTTAATACTATAGACGTGATTTCTGTTTCCTACCTGCAACCGATGGTATCGCTCCAGACAACATCTGGTAGAAAATGTGGTAGTTCCTCTCAACAGATTGCTGGTAGGTGACACGAGATTTCTCCAACAAATCTGTAATGAGACGTAGCAATACTGGCTTTGATCACAATCAATAAAATAACATCTGCAAGATGACTACACTTGGTATAAATTACAAAACACTACAGTTCATGACGGAATTTCCTCAACAAATATGTCACAAGACTATGTAATATTTTGCATTAAAACTGTATCCTCAAACATTTGTAATCCTGCTGCAACAACAATGGCAACGAAAAAGAGCAAATCGAACATAACGTTGATGTCATATAAGGATATGTACATGGAAGGCTACTTACATGTTTCAATGTCGGCACCAGCAATTTTTCCGGAGGAGGCGAAGTGGATTCGAACAAATTTACCCTGCACATATTACGATTGATAAGATTTAGCATAATTGGTATGCTGTTATTCAAAGCAATAAATCTGTGAAACTCGAGTAACATTTATAGAGCACGATACGCAGTGATATATAAATACTTTCTGGGATAAAAGAAATTAGATTTTGCTATTTTCATTTCACTTTGTATTGGCGAGCCATATGAGTCTTAGCGAACACAATTGTAGACTTACGAATCTGGAGGAGTTGTTGTTACGTGAAGTTTTGGCGTTACCATAAGCTTCAAGAACAGGGTTAGCCTGCACGATCTGATCCTCCAGCGAACCCTGCAACAAAACAGCACACATTTAACTCATGTGATCTCTGAAAACGGCAAAACTTCAAAAGAACTTTTGTAAAACTGATATTTACTGCGTCTACATTCACTCACCTTCTTTTCGTCCTGATCCCCTTCTCCTTTGGAGGCGGCGGCGACAAAAGCGAAGTAAGCTATGACCTTCTTGGTGTTCTCAGTCTTTCCTGCTCCGGATTCACCACTGTATGGAAAAACACACTTTACGATGTATACATGTAACTTCATTAGCTACACCTTTAGTCACAATTCAAAATATACTAGTATCTTTGCAGATTGCAATGAATGTGTCACTCCCGATAAATTGAACACTCAATCAACACTTTCTAAGTATATAAAGGTATATTAGAACAAAATATTTCACTTTAATATGACTTTGGAGATGAATATACTTACGTAATCAACATTGACTGATTTTCACGATCTGAAATAAAATCAAACTGTCTGATATGGCGGATAATTAATCTTGTGATAGACATATACTGATGGAATCTGTAACTCTGTGAAGAGAGCTGCGGTGCACTAGACCATGGTGCACTACGGTATCTCTACAATGAAGTTTCAGTCAATTGATAAACAGCATTTATGTTGCAATCTTTAATGATCATTCATCCAGTTTAGAGAAAATCTTCTTATTGAAAAAGTGTTATCATTATTTCTCCATAGATTTGAAGCAGTGATTACCTTGTACCATGAACTGGTAGGCATTGTCAGAGATGGAGAACAAGTGAGGAGGCATTTCGGTCTTCCTCTTGCCTCTGTACTTGGCCACGATGGACGGGGTGTAGATGGGGAGCCGGCGGTAGGGGTTGATGGCGATACAGAACAGGCCAGAATAGGTCTGAAATTATATACATATGTGTGTACTGTTTGTGAAGTATTATTGTTTATTTCAATTTATAATTGAAAAAAATGTATATAATGCAAAATAAAGAAATCGATTTAAGTTCCAAAATATATTATACTGTTTACATATGTGCATAGTGAAACTGAATTTCAATAGAGTTCGGTGACTATTTCACTGCTGACGATGCTACATGCAAATATAGTGCTTGCGATGATTTTTACACGTTTTCATCTGTAAAATTTAGTATTACTCACATAGATTAATCCAGAAGTGTATCTGGCTCTCAAGTTGTACAGTACGCTGGCCTCGTTGAGGAAGGTCATGTTTGCAATGTCCTCGATCTTTTCGTACTTGGGAGGGTTCATCGACTGGATGTCGTCCTTCTTAAACGTCTTCGTCTGAAAGGGAAGGATTTCATTTTTAAAATGTATTCTGTGATCAATTATCAATGCTCTTCCCTACATTGCGTTAATAACTTGAAATAATGTTCCAATTCTACTGGAAATTAGGACATGTAACGTCCTGCACAAATTCGTACCTGCTTGGAGTCAACAAGGAGGACTGTGACGTCATCGCCTGCCGTGCTCTGTATTTCAGCAGCAACAAATCCCTG